GTACCTGGAAAACCCCAAAGAGGGTCGCTAATAAGTCAGAATTGCTTTTTTTTGCATATGATGATTATTATGATGATGATGTTTTCATTGTATTGATTTTCAGCCAATATAATTTGGCTGAAATTATAACTTATAATTTATATTGGCTGAAAACCAGTTGCTTAGTGTGGTAAGTAGCACTAGAGTAGATCCAGTGCATCAGTACAGACTTGGCGAGTCAACTCCTTTGATTCAGATGGGCCCACTCTAGTTGCAAGCTGCTATACTAAGATTTTAGGTTGCTGTCTTTTTACATTCATAAGGTACATGTTTTATCCTGTCTTACTATACAGGCTTTTAAAATGTGATCAGGGATAAGAATTATATTGTATTGGCCATATCCTGTTGCTTGTCCTACCTAGAGGAGCCCCATTTGAATCAGTGGATTTATATAAGTGTTGGTGTACCATTTAGGAACTGGTTCAGGGAGATGAGCAATAAAATACAGGGCATTAAATCGTATAAATACCATAAACAGAGAAAACAAGCCCTAGCAGCATCTATTAAAGGAATAGACTTCCTGGGCTGAGTTGGAACAGATACCTCCTGATTGTAGGAAATTGCATCAGCTTTGCTGAAAATGATCATGTTCTCTTTACATTGTGTGTATTTGTGCTTTTTTTTACAGCTTGAGGTGCATTGACTGAGAAGAGAAATGAAGCCCAAACAGTCCAGATGGTAAGGGAAGGGGGGGAAGAAGAGCAGGATTGTGTGGGGAGTGAAGGGCACATCAGCGACAAGGGAGGATGAGATTACACTTGTCCCCACATGGCTCTCTTGACTTTCGTAGACCCATTTGTGGGCCATGCAAGTGAAAGCCATATGTCGGAGATTTTTGACAGCGGCAGACCCGTTTCAAGTGTATTTAGGATTGCAGCTTTCATTAAGTACATTTTCATTCCCAATGCTTTTATCAGGAAAGATGTAAACACATGTTGAGCCAACAGTACCCTGAAGCCTGGCCTGTGCCCCCTAAAATAGCCTTCTGCCTTCAAGAGATGTAGAGGTTGCTGGCCCATCACCAGAGTTAAAGGTAAATTCATATGCCAGCCCTGCCTGTATTTATACATGTGTCCAGTCCTGCCTGTATTTGTATGTGTGTCTGAAGAAACCATACAAATCAAGCAACTCTGCATGTGTGTGTTTACCAGCATGATCTAGTCAAGTAGATTAAGTAGCCTTTCCATGACATCAGTTCAATGTATAGAATTAAGAATGTGTTTACATTTGTCTTACTGAAATCACTGGGAATTGAAACTGATTAACAAATGTTGCAATCCTAATTACACATACTCTGTTCTTGGTCCTAGTAAGAAACTTGAAGTTCAGACTATTAATATTTCCTCCCCATCTTCCTCTGCAATTTTAGCAGACATGCCACATGTATTTTCTAATTTATATAAGGATTAGAAACTCTGTTTTTCTAATGAACGTTTCTCAAAATTATGAATTTTGCATTCGAATTATGAATTTTGCATTCAAATTATGAATTTTGCATTACTAGTGTTAATGCAAAATTCTGAATTTTGTATTAACAGTGAATGCTGTTCTTGGAATGTACAATTGTATGCATATATGGAAATGCATATTTAGGGCTAAAATCCATTTGCTTAATCTAGTCCCAACTAGGGTATACCCCTTGCTGAACAGTAATTCTCATTGCTTAAATGGCTTTACTCTGGTCGGCATTAGCTGTTGGATTTAGGCCAAACATGGCCAAATATGATTTTTTAAAAATGGGGAAAGCAATCACTGGCAGCATCACAGCATGAAAAAGCTACTTATTTGGATGATGGCTCCTATCCTGTGCAGGCCACCAGGTTCTGGAAGTTGTAGTCCAAACATTAACTTTTCCAAGTGTGATTAAGCTGTAAGGCTGAATCAGAATTCCAAGGAAACCCTGCCTTGTGAATGGAGGCTCCATGGTTGGTGTATACAATTGCTCCCACTTGGCTCCTCCTGCAGGCAGGCACTATTAAACAAACCACAGCCCTCTGTTTATGGTTAGCTTATTGTGACTTGGAACAGAGAATTAAATCTGTCCTCAGACAAACCAGAGTCACATGTGAGATTTCCCCATCTTGGCCATGTTGGATGATGGGAGTTGTAGGGCACTTGGTTGGAAAAAGTTGATAGATATGCTGACCACTTCTACATACTCAAAAACATGCCCCATTTTTTTTTTGAAAGGTTGCCTGAACGCCAGGTATTCCACGGATTTCCGGCTGCACCAGCAGATATTCTACTACTGCCATTGCGCACAGTGTGGACCCCTACCCAGCCTAGCCTATAGCAGTCAAGGTAAGTTTGTCTTGAGTCATGTAACATGTGTTCAATGTAATGTTGAAGAGGAACCGAAAGAAAATTGTGTCCGATCTTTTGCAGATGAAGAAATTTGCCATGTAAACTTTGACCGTGGAATTGACATTATCCTGCTTTCTTCATTCACTGTAGAGAGAACACGGTTTTAAAATCACAGTTTGGTGTTGTAAATTAGTTAAGACTATCGGGAGCCTCCATTTTTGCTGAGATTCTGGGTATGGCAAGGCAGCACAGCTGTTGCAGGAGAAATAAATATTTTGTGGTGCTTGCACTCAGATAATCCTCTGGAGCCTGTTGTAAAGAACAGCCCCAGGTATCCCAGATTTAAAATCAAACCCACTAAGTACTGTTGCTACTCTTTTTTTTTGTCCAATTCAGCTTGGGGTATTTCGGATCTTATAGGAGAGGGCCAAACCTCTCAGAGATCTAGGTAGGAACCAGTAAACAGAAGCACATAACCCAAAGGGGTCATATTTAGGCTATTTGAAATAAACACACTGCACTGTAACATAAATGGGTCTGTTTCAAAAGAAAAAAGCAGTAAAAGAGCCGAAATAAAAGAGGCTGGCAAGATAAATTTTCTGTTTGCATAAAATAAGGATATCACACTGTCCTAGTAAATGCATACATATCAATAGATGTAGACCTCATAGAAATACGTATTCAGTATTTCTAACACATAACAAAAGCATGCTACTCTGTAAAAGGCAAGGATGCATCATGGAGTGTGTAGTAAAAAAATTATACCAGAAGCAAAAAGTGTCACCAAAAAAAAAAAAAAAGGATAGACTAGTATAGGAGGAGTAGATTGAGTGGTTACCTATGAAAGCAGCAAAAAAAAAAAAAAAAAGGATAGACTAGTACAGGAGGAGTAGGTTGAGTGGTTACCTATGAAAGCGTAAAGCAAGACTGGATCTATTTCTGTACCTAAATTTCTATAGTAACTTAGGTGTGGATACCATCAGCCAGTTATTGGCTGGTAAGCACTTTCTAAAATCCTTCTGTGTGTGGCATTTGTGCTGGCTGCTCAAATACTAGCTGAAACCAGTTCCCTTTTAATTAGCAAAGTGTTCATCCTTGGTCTCAGTGGTTCAAAGCTACAGATAAGACAGGTGTTCGGACCATAAACAGACTTTTCCCCAATTAAAATAACTAGCTGATGGAAGCACACAAGCCTGGCTGGAATGGAAAACTCTGGGACAGACTTGGATCAGATGAAGTCTAAAAGTTTTCACATGTGGTTTGAAGGCCTGGGAATGAAACATGCTTGTACCTCCACTCTCTGCCCCCTATTACTTCCTCTTTTGATGGGTCATTGTTTGCTTTCTTGTTGTGTGCCCTCAAGTTGCTTCCAACTTACGATGACCCTCATTATTTTGGGGGTCTGTGTGTTGTTCAAGGAGTAGTTTACTGTTTCCACTGCCAGTGAGTTTCCATGGCTGATTGGGGATTTGAACCCAGGACTCCTGAGTGCTTCTACACAAATATTTCCAATTGTTTGCTACTGGCTTTCCCATTGTTTGCTACTATATCTGAAATTTTAATAAAGCTTTGATATCATCAAACCATGGTTATGATTCGGTCACCAAGACTGGCTGTGATTTGTAATCCTGGTTTCTAGGAACACAGCAGCTCCCTTATGATGTTGGAAAAATACTAATTTTATTTTATTTATTTATTAAATGTTTGCCCCACCCATCTAGATCAAAGTCTACTCTGGGCAGCTAACAATAATAAACAAAATAAAAACAATATAATAAAATAAAAAAAAAGCAGTAGTAATATAGTTCAAGATGGCGAAAAATATTCAAGTGATGACAGGAGGGAAAGCCTGCCTAAAGAGCCAGGTCTTCAGTTTGCTCTTAAAAACACTCAGCGAGGGAGCCAGACAGATCTCTGGGGGCAGACTGTTCCAAAGGCGAGGGGCCACTGCCGAGAATGCCCGGTTTCTTGTTCCTTCTCTCTGGGACTCCGGAGGGGGCCCGGAGCATGGAGTGGGGACAGAGATGCATGTTCTGGCCCTGTTGTCTAGTGCACTCCATGTTGAGGCACAGGCCTGAAGCAGAACAGTGTTTGGCTGAACAGTCCAAGAACATCTGGGGATCCAAGGCTGGGAACCACTGCCCTATATGCACAGTCAGGGTTTCCAGCTGCAGAGCATTGCAACAAGGAGAACCAGTAAAAGGAGCATTTGCTACTCTTAACAGCTTCCAGGAACAGCCGTTCTAATGTGATTTTTAAAGAAGTGGGGAGTTGAACGGGGCCCAGAGTCCCATAAAAAACCTATAGGCTGCATGATTTGTACCCTGACCTAGAGGACCACATATTTTTCATTTTTTTATGAAGTGTGTGAACAGCTGTGCCATCAGACTAGAGCTATCATGATCCCCAACCAGCATAGCCAATAATGAAGGATTCTGGGAGTTGCAACCAAACAACATTTGAGGGAACCACAATTTTACCCAGCCTAAAGCGGCCAGATACAAAAAAGGAAAAGGCTCCTGTATTTTAAGCCTAAATCCATTTTTTACTCCCAACTAGAGTAGATCCACTGAACAAGTGGAGTTTAATTACTAATTGTTGATCACTAAGTTCAGTGCGTGTCTTGTAGTTGGAACTAATAGTTGGGTTTCACCTTAATAGTTGTAAAGAGAAGAAGGAATTTAAGCCGGCATAACTTGTCAGTGTGATCTGCACCTACTAAAACTCTACAGAATACAAGAAAATTAAAGGAGCCTTACCCTGTTGTACCTTCTGTCCACTGTCATAATGCTCTTCAAGAGGCAGGAGCCCTGTCCTCTTTTGCATTGTGGCAATGCTCTAAATCTAGGTGAAGCAAGTGGCTGAAGATAAACAGACCAACACTTGAAGAAACACACATGAATGGCAAGAAGGAAGCAGCTGCTGACCTACAGTTTCTTCCTACTTCCTTAAGCAGAGCTGATAGGGAGCAGACCAGGATGCAGCTGGGGTGAATAGTCGGGACTGCAGCCAGAGCATGGGCTGCAAACTTTTGTCTTTACTACAAAATTAATTCTGGCTGTGATGTTCGGAAGTACTCAGTCACCTTGAATAAGACTAATTTTAAACAGTCTTAAGGGTGCTCTGAAGATAGCTGATGCAGCAGTCTTTCTAAACCTAAGCCACTATAGATCTAACTAGTGTGGTCTAGAGGTTGGAATGTTGGACTGGGAAATCTGAGTTTACCTCTCTGTCTGATCATGAAATTCCACTGGGTTAGTCTTAAGTCAATCATCCTTTCTCAGCCTGACCTACTTCACAAAGTTGTTGAGAAGGGGTGTGAATGTATGCCATGATGAGCTCCATTGGGAGACAGTAGAGATATAAATGCAATCAATCAATCAATCAATCAATCAATCAATCAATCAATCAGTCAGTCAATCAATCAATCAATCAATCAATCCACTAATAATAGATTACCTTGGAGTTTTGTTGAGCTTTTACATTTTCTTAAAACCATTGTCTCTTCAATGGGTCTGTTTGCGCTGATCCTTTTTTTGTTTTAATATTGTATCATCATTGTTTACTGTTAATTGTGTTACTTTTTCTTGTGAGCTGCATTGAAGGTACAAAATAGATTCTGTATGTGTGTGGTATATATGAATAAACTAAGGGCTTGAACAGGGCATTTGTCCTGCTGTTTGGTGCACTGAGGGGACAGGTTAGTTTGCTCCTTTTTCTGATGATCAGACAATGGAATCGCTAGAGTGGGTAGAAGAATGGTGAGATCCCATCCTTACTGACTGTGGCCTATCTGTCAGAAAATCCTTTATCCACATGCAGATCTCCTGAGGTAATCCCAGGTTGATCATTTTAAAAAACAACCTATTTGGTAGAATGGTATTAAAAGCAGAGCTATAATCCACAATCATGGAATTCCACTGGGTTAGTCTTAAGCCAGTCATCCTTTCTCAGCCTGACCTACTTCACAAAGTTGTTGAGAAGGGGTGTGAATGTATGCCATGATGAGCTCCATTGGGAGACAGTAGAGATATAAATGCAATCAATCAATCAATCAATCATCAATCAATCAATCAATCAATCAATCAATCAATCAATCAGTCAGTCAATCAATCAATCAATCAATCAATCCACTAATAATAGATTACCTTGGAGTTTTGTTGAGCTTTTACATTTTCTTAAAACCATTGTCTCTTCAATGGGTCTGTTTGCGCTGATCCTTTTTTTGTTTTAATATTGTATCATCATTGTTTACTGTTAATTGTGTTACTTTTTCTTGTGAGCTGCATTGAAGGTACAAAATAGATTCTGTATGTGTGTGATATATATGAATAAACTAAGGGCTTGAACAGGGCATTTGTCCTGCTGTTTGGTGCACTGAGGGGACAGGTTAGTTTGCTCCTTTTTCTGATGATCAGACAATGGAATCGCTAGAGTGAACCCCAGAGCGCTCCCACCTGCATTTTCCTGAACCTCTGTTAGAGCCTCAGACAGTTTGGTCCATTTTCAGCAGGTGTGACCACTGGGAACGGACCAAGAAATGAGCGTTTAACTATCAAAGCTCCTTCTGCTGTCAATTTCCAGTATCATGAAGTGGTTTAATAAGCAACCCACTAAAGGATATGAGTAAATTGAATACTGTACTTCCCCTTCTCCTTGTGGAGAAATGAAATTATTATTATAAGAACATTGCTGATGCACGGAACCACTTAGATTAAATTTTAAAAATATATTTTCTTTGCCTTGTCTGAACTGCCAGTTGAGAAACTGCCTGCAGGTGAAAAGGCAGTTTTATCTGTGGATAGTTTCTTGATCAGCATTTCAGACAAGACAAAGATTTTTAAAAAAATATTAATCTAAGTGATGCAGCGCAGGAGTAATGGTCTAGCAGAGTAAAAAAAAATTAATAGTTTCACTTCCCCTGCCTCTCAAACACCACTACCAACTATCAATCCCATAATCCCTGGCACCATCTCATTTCCCCTGCCTTTCCAGGA